ACTCACACACCTTCTGAGGAAAACCACCCTCCCCCCCAACCCATGTGCGCCGCCTCGGCTTAAACATCCAGTGCAGAAGAGTGATTTTCCGATTGGAAAAATCCCTCAGCGTGCGGAGGAAGTTGAGTGGAAATCCGGGGCAATTGTTTACGCGCCGTGTGCAATCTGGGCTCCGTTTATGACTCTCCACAACCCTCCGTTTGGGGGGTGATTTTATTGGGAGTCTGTGCCGGGGCGGAGATGGTACATAAAGACGCGCCCAGACATCCGAACCTGACCCAACTTGCATGTCTTGCCACCCAAAAAATTTTTATACCCCCGTGCAGGCGGCGTGTCGCACGTCAGAGATCCGTCTTCATCCTTTTTTTTTCTCCTTGCCTCTCCTTCGAGACCATAAAATTTATGTACAGCTCTCCCTCGGGCGGGTTTTCCGCCCTGGGGGCGAGTTTTGTCTGTGTCTTCCGGAGGGGTGGCGAGTGGGACCCTCACACAACCCTTATCAACGCCATTTACACCCAGCAAATAACGTCGTCACTGTCGTCTTCATGAGCCGCCCCCCAAACCAGGCCATTCGGGGAGGGTGGCTCGCTCCCCACATAAGAATGTTGACATCATCATTCGACAAATGAAGCTTTGACTCAGTGTCAGATGGATTTTAGATAGCGTGTGTTGTTGTGGAGCTTTAAAATCTTGACAATGCTATCAAAGCTCCGAGAAAAGTCCGCAATTTTCCCATCATTTATCTCTTGCGGGTGGGAAGGGTGCACTTTTGCGGGGCGTTGCGGGATCCACACGCGCCCCTACAATTCGCTAGGCATTGTTCTCAGGATTGGATTGTATTTCTGCCCGGGGGAGGATGTGAAGGCGTTAATGTGTAAATAGGGGGTGACTGACAAGGGGGTTAGTCGGCGTCTAAGTGGTGTCACATTGAGGTAGGCACCTGGAATCTCTCCCCACACGCGGAAGGGCGCATTTTGGCCACTCTCACGTGGTGACAGAATCGCAGAGTGATGATTGAGAAATTAGGGGTGCTTCTTATGGGCCAAAGTCAAACCCCTCAAAGTCACACCGCACATCAATTGAGTTGTTGATCCACTGCAGGTGCCCCGGCTTCTCCCAACCCTTTTCCGCACACACACCCTGGGAAAAGATGTGGTTTCTTTGGGGGAAATTGCTCGCGCGAGGGTCGCGCAATTGGAAATGCATTCAAAAGCGGGCTTCTTGGCGGGGTTTTCTCTCTGGCTCTCTGAGGAGGGTGATTACTTCCAGGGGTTGAAATCACCTGACAATTTGTTTATCAGCGCGCCACACCTGTTACTCAATTGCGGATCCATCCTTTGCACGCAAAATCCGCCACGCGAGCAGTCCATTGATGTGAGACCACAAATTGGGGCCCCACCAATTTGCATACGCGATGGGGTGAGTGTGTGGCGAAGAGAGGCGGGAAGATGGGATCAAAATAAAAACGGAAAAAGTGCACGCGGGGTGAATGGCTATTTCTGCCTCGATGGCGTCACGTAAAAAACCGTCTGCGCGATGTCTAGGTCAACTGTGGGTGCTCCCAAAATACCCAGTCGCTCCTCAGGTGGATCAATTCGTGGGGTATTTTCGGCGGTCGCCGGCGTTTCGTCCGACATCCTCAAGTTCATCATCACGAACTCTCCTAATGGAGCTCCACACCGGTGCCACTTTATTGTCTCGTTGACGTGCTCCCCTGGGGAATGGGGGGCGGAGGGCTCGAAATGGCAGAGACATGGCGAACATTACCATGCTCTCTCTGTGCTCACTCTCCAGACGCCCAGGAAGTTGTAAAAACATCCGAAGGAAAAGACGGAGAAACCACCCCGATGATGGAGCTCTGGGGTTAACCTTCAGACCCATCAAATATGTATAAGAATCCCCTCCGAATCTGGGGTGCTCTCGCCCCACACCCACACACAGTGGATTCCTCTGTGGCATATTGATAACAACAGACACAACAAACAAACGGATGAGAGTGGAAATATCTCCGGGGGGAGAGATTCTCTCAATTGTGGCGTGTCTGAGGCATTTTTCATGTGGGGATTCCGAAAAGGGAGGGCTCCATGTGGCGCCCTGATGTGGATTTATGAGCCGCCGAGTCACCCCACCGTGGATGAGTAAGCTTTTATTTGACGCTCTCCGGACGAGGCGGGCTTTGTTGCCGCGCCATCCGTCTCAATATCAGCTGTTTATGATGATACCGTCTTATCCGCCACACCAGCCCAGATGCGTGAGGGAGATTTTGGGATGCGTGTGTGTGGCCAAAACAGAACTAACCTCTGCCAACAGTAACCGCAAGATATGCCACGGGGGCCCTTCGTGGCCTCTGTCTCCCATGCCGCTCAATCCTGGCCGCGTTCGTGGTCAGATGGACACGCACCTTTCTTCAGAGATCCGTTAAGCTTAATGGGTCTTTCCACTTAATGGGGGCTTTGCCCGTGTACTTGAGAATTTGTCTATGAGAGTCCAAACACCCAAATTAAATGTAAAAGTGTGTGATTTCTTTGTAAATATTGACTATTGTGTTCCCTGAAAGGGTGGTTATTGTTGTGACTGGAAGAGAAAGTAGAGCTTCTGATGCATTTGCGGTTCATCTGGAGGCGATATGAGGTGGTGTGGGGGTTGTTGTGGTCACAGACCTCGCTCTATCTATCCCAAATTAGGTTTCCCAAGGGCTTAAGGGCCTGGCGGGTGGCCCGAATACTGCGGAGGGTGGCAAATGACGGATCTCCTCATCCTCAGTCAGCTCTCAGCGAAATACCAAAAATGGGGGAGAGAGTGAGGCAAATGGATGCGAGGGGTTGGTATTTTGGGGCAATATCAGACAAAACATGGGATTTAATGAATTTATTAAGACGCACAGACGTGGATTTCCGGGGTCGTCTAGACGCTCATTCATGATGGGTGGCGTTTATTCAAAATGTGCCTCACGGGGGTGGCTGCGGAAAAGTATGATGAAAATTCTCTCCTCATTGGCGCCGTGGCTCCCCACAAATGCTTTCTCCCTCTCTCTCGCTCGCTCTCACCCCAAAAGCACACACTGAACTTAACCTACATACCCAATTTTCCACTTTTGCCGCGCGCACTCTTTCGGCCCAAAAATTTGTCTGCCGCCCCCATACCAATATGAATCTGTTTCCCATTTGATGGCTTTCGTGTGACTTGACACACAATTTTCTCCGAACCATCAACATTGGCTGGAGTGGATTCTCTATAAATAAATCGCTCAGTGTCTCAAACTCTCATCTGGTGCGCGCCGCCGCCTCCCCAGCGAAGAACTCCCACGAACACTTCGCCGTAAATTCATGGAAATTGGTAAATTACAATTTCATGTTGCGGAACTTGGCGTGAGGTGTGTGTGCGTGTTGAGTGGGGAAAAGAAAGCTCTTGAAAAGTTTGTCACAACGCCCCGACGATGGGTGAGAATTGTCTCACATTGTCTGGCCCTTAAAGCTTGTAAATTGGGACTTTTTTTCACCCCCAGATGAGCTCGTGAGATTAATTATGAGCTTTATTGTCGTGATAAGGAACATAATGAGTGTTGTATTTTAATTTCGATAATGTGACTGTTAAAACTGGGGTTTTAACCCATTGTCGCTGGGCGGGAAATGTGTCGTTTTCCACGAGTTAAGCATTTGGTACAACTCATCTGGAGATGAGGACATATGTCGTTGGCATGAAATAATGGCAAAAAGCGGAAAGGAAGCGAGAGATTTGGGTGACTTGAGCATTTGCGATAAATCCCCAAGACACTTCATATGTTGTTTTATTGTGAATTTAATGAGTGAATTTTGTGTGTGTGAAGTGAAGGGAAGATAAGGATATACAGCTTCACTGTTGCGGGCGCGCACTAGTGAAATATTTTTCCATCTTTCTGGGAATTTGTCTGTCGAAAATCCTGCATGAAAAAGCCATCCAAGTGTCAATGACACTTTGAGACCAAATAAGGTATTTTTGAGGACAGAAAATCGTGTCAGTTTTCAGGCATGACGCGAGCGTCTGGAAACGGGAGACATGCAGATGAGAATCGTCTGAAAATAATCTAAACATCCGCTGTCTCCGAACCCCCCGAGACTTGCCATAAGATCTGCGATATTGTGGCCAGGTGTCCTCGGGTGAAAATCGCATTTACAGCCTCGATAAATCCTCAATTTGATTCACACCCGATGGGATTTTTTTCTCCGAGTCTTTTCTCAAGAGCTGAAAAGGAAAGGAGAAAAAAATCCCGCCAAAACCCAAAATCCGTGCATTTGAGAGAATATATATGTAGAGAATATGTTTGTTATTTCTATTGCTGAGACTTTTCTCTGCGTCTCTCTCAATGTTCATCTCCCGAAAAATTGTCACCATCTGCCAGTGGATTTCCATGCAGCCCAAATCCCACCATGTGTGGAGTGTGACAAAAATAGAAGATGAAAAACCCCCGAAATATGGCCATACAAGGTAAATTTGTGGCACGTTCCAAAGGCGGCAGTTGCAGTCGAATTTCCACCCTTCACTCGACTCTCTCTGGCGCGATGGTCGATCTTTGGAGCACCTCGAGACATCTGGCGGTTGGTAGAGGTGACGCGTGGAAGCTTTTCTCCCTAAGTGAAGCTCAAAACCAACCACACACATGCTGACGAAAGTCCGTTGCAACGCGCAAAGCCTCTGCGAAATGCGTCTGAAGCCATGGCGGCTGTTTTTCAAGAGTTCAATGCTCCACGCATTGGATGCGGGCAAAGCTCATGGCTACTTATGAATCAATATATAGTTGCAAAAGTAGGGAAAAACTATCATAAATTTCCACACACTTTTGTCAATGATGATGCCAAGATTTTGCTGGCAAGAGAGACATTCTCTCAAGTGCTCATATTTGGAATATATGTTGTGTTTTAATCAGCATAAGACAAACTGTTTTCAGACAGACTTGCAAATATTGTAAGTCATGGTGTTTATGACAGTTTCCTCACCCTTGGCTCTCTCTGTTTACATTGCAGCTCATCTATGGCGCAGATGGGACTCTTATTAGGGGCGAATCCCGACGAGGACGCGGCAAGGGCAGAGGCGGAAGCTCAAACCGATCGGTAAGTGGCATTTTTTTTCTTATGCACACTGAAATGACACAATGATTTCTCATATATGCAAAGAAGAAATTCACCATCTTCCTAAGCGATGTGAATAGTTTAAAAGTGCTGAAAGCAGACGCAGATGAAGATTTATCGAGTCAATTACTCGCTTCGGGGCTCTCAGAAGATATCCAGGAGTAGCAGTTAGGAATATTGCGATAATTTACGATGACGATATAATTTTCAATATCATATACGGAAAATTATTCAATTTAGCGCGAAGGAAAGTTGCTGAATTTATGAATATCCCTCCCTGTGTGTCTAATTAATTCTCTCTCTCGCTCTTTCTCTCTTTTGGCGTAGAGAATTTAATGAGTGTGAAACACTTTTGCACATTTTTGCCAATTATTCGTACCTGTGAATCCACTCGATGGCAATAAAGGCGCAAATATCACCTCTGGTGGCTTTTCCCGGGCCACCCTGACTCTATTGTGCACTTTGGGGTGAACTTTCGTCCATTGTGTGCGAAGAGAGATTGTAATGAAAATTTTCTTAATTTATTGCTCCCAATGTGAAGCCGTGCTTTCGCTGCAGTCCTTCGTTCGTGCTGAAACGCAGTGGCGTCTCGATTTTCAATCCGACGAAAGTCAAAATTGTCCTTTTACAGGAGAGAAAGTTGCAAATTTTGCAAAGTTTTGGACTAAAATATGGTAAATTTAATTGAAAAATCGAGAATATTATTTTTCAAAGTTAATTTTTAAGTACATTTGTTGCAAATAAGTCGTAAAAATCAACTTTTCGTATTCTAAACGAACTTTTATTTAAAGTTTTTGAGTGAAAAATTCAAAAATATGACAAATAATAATGAAAATTCATTCAAAGACTGATAAGATTTTAGGAAAATCTGAATTTCATATGTTTATTAAAGAGGCGTTTTATGCATTTGACTGCAATTCAAGATCAAATAAATGTGCGAAATAGAATTTGAGAAAATCATAGAATCAGTAATGATTTTTATCATAGAATTTTGTTAAATACAATGTCAGCAAATCACAGTTTACTCGTAATTTTGAATCCCATTGATAGTTCCTACGCCACTGGCTGATAAGCAATGATGGGGGTGAGAATTAATGGTGCCCTGAAACCTCTGAAACTGACTGAATTGTCCTCTTCATTGGTGTACGAATTAATCCATGACATAGAAATCCAGTTTAGAAAGTTTTGCCAGCGCGAGAATCGGCGGGAAGATAAGAGATTTGGTGCATAAATTAAATTACACAATCAAAATTTCATCTTGCGAATGCATGAAGCGAGAAAAAAGCTCGTCAGATTTTGATTAAATTCCAAAATTAGCCATTTGGCAGCAAAATGCGGGCGTCGCGACGTGGCAAAGTGGCCCCATGAGAATGCCACCCACTCAATTCGCTGGGATTTTAATTTGCCCCAGCAATTTACTGCCATCAAATTGCGAATTGCCAACATATTTTCTTGGCATTCTCAAGAGTGATCCCCACGCGGACTCGTGCGCAGAGTTCACCTTTTTCTCATCAACTTTCCCGCTTTTTTCGTGCCCTGCCTCTTTCATGCTCCCTCCAGAGACGCGCCCCATCAATGCATTCGGCGACTTGTGCGCCTTCTTTCGGCTGCAAAAAAATTCTCCCGAGGAATTGCGAGCGAAGATGAGCTGAAAAATTGATGTAAATTGCTGTGCGAGACGAGAATCTCGCAACTGCACACGCACTTTGGGCACTGCAATTCACCATTCTGTGGGTTGATATGGGAACCATTTCCATAGCGCTCAGGCTGGCGATATGTGTTGTTGTGGATATTAATTTGACTTTTGCGAATGAGAGGGAATAATTAAATTTGTCTGCTTGGGACAATTTATAGTTTTCGCCGCACTTCTTTGTGCGACTTTTTCCCAAGACACGCTGTCTCATTGGGAATTCTGCGAAAAAGAGGAGGAATTTTTGCATTAGAAATGACTGCGAGCGATAAATTGGCGCCAGTTTTTTCTTGCCAATATATATTGTCCATGAATCACCATTTGGGCTGAAATCTGCGCGCGGTCGAGAGAGATAGGATATCGGCTGGAGCTTCTTCGGGTCGCACATGAAGAAGAGGAGCGGCTTGGGTGCAATAAAAAAGGTAGACCGCGACCTATCCCAAGACCCGAGTGTCTTCCGTGGTGGATCAATTGCAGAGGCAGTGCGAGAGAGAGAGAGAAGGAGAAGAAGGCTCACAGGAACCCTCCTCAATGATGGGTGATATAAAACAGAGAAATAAAAGTGCGGAGGAAATTCGCACACATTTATTGCACGCGCGTCGCCGACAGAAAACATCTGTGCTGTGGCAAGATGAAGAGTTTCACTTTTTATATACTCAGCCACACAACAATTCCCCACGATGCTCCCGCTCCGCGTCACAATACCCAAAATCACCCAGGGAAATGTTTGTCGGTTTGTGTCTCTCCTCGGCTCACATCACCATCTTTCATCCTCGCCGTGATTTCATCCTTTTCGCCACCTTCCGCCTCGGTTGGCAGAGTGAAAAGGACCGTTTTTGTGGAAACAAACGCGAAAAGGTAGTTTGCAACTGGATATAAAGGGGAAGGATTAACCAAGGGGAAGATAATACAGACAATTCAGTGGAAGTGTTCAAAAACTTATAATATTCATTTCTTGAGTGCTTCTTTTACTGATAAACTATCCCATTTCTGTGGATTTCTTACGTAGGAAGAATCATAAAAATACTTTTCGAGGTTATGTGACGATTCAATTCTTGTGCTGAAGTCGGAAAGATCGCAAATTATTGGCATAATAAGGCATTTAGAGGCAATAAACATTGTTATTTTGATCCTTTGAGGACAAGAAACACTTCAAATTGTGTTAGAATTAAACGTAACCTCAAAAATAATCATTTGGATCTGGAAAATGGTTATTTAGAAATCTTTCTAAGCGACTTTGGCACTGAATCAGCAATTATGAATTCAATGACAAAGCAATAACAGATGATTCTGTAATCCAGAAAGCTTCCAACGAAAGTCTTTCAAAATCTCCTGGCAATATTTTTAGGTTATGATCAAAAAGACACGTCAAAAAGCGATTTTAAATGGATTCTTGCAGAAATATTGGATGAAAACTGAAAAGATTCAATAACCTGGCGCACATTTAGTACAATTCATTGACTTCACTGACTTCGGAATGTATTCCAAAACGGCGGACTTATCCAATCAGTCCACCGATGATTCTCTCTTCTTTCATTCAGTGGCTGTTTGTGTTCACAGCAGCACGTATTTATTACATAATGTACTTATTGGAACGCGCAGTCCCTGGAGAGTGTGTCGGGTGTCTTATGAATATTATGTGGGGCTGATTTGGTTTGTTTATTGCCAACACTGGGCCACGGCGGGGTTCACAAGTTCAGGTGCACAAGTCTTCCGCATGCGATGCCTCGGGAGATTCCGGGCGTGCGGTGGATTTGAGATATGCCACGCGGATTCCATCTTCATGTCTCTCAGCGGGAAATTCAATGAATGAGGCAGCGAGATTCCTCGTTTGATGTCTCACTCCACGGCGATGGTTCTTGAGTTGTGTCTCATTAGTGACACGGGCAGGTGATTTATGCCCGCGCCAATTCCAGACGTTCCACATCTCAGCTGATTTTGTCAAATTTCACTTTTTCCCGTCTCTCTTCTAATGACAGTCACGTATTCTATTTATCTGCGTCAATTAAAGGGAGTCATTCTATAATGAATTCCACACCGAACTCTGAGATGGAATTCTAATTGTCTGCAGAAAGAGGGATGGGAAAAAAAGAAGAAAGAAGAACTCCAGCCAAGGAAATTGTGCGATCATTTCCGTTCGCGACTTTTCCTCTGGCGCGCAACTAATATAATCGTATAAATCATTTAGTCCTGGCGGTGGATGCTGTTAACGTGTACCCATAAATTGCGTTATTAGGAGTTATGGGGTGGTTCGTGTGTGTCTGAGTTGGGGAAATAATAAATTTTGGATTTTTGTATTGATTTCTGCGCAGTGCGCTCATGAGTCGATTCTGCCGTCGGCCGCCTTCGGGGTCCTTTTCTGAAGGTACAAACACACACACCATTGGCGAAGGGCCGTTGGAGTTGGGAGGCATCCTGGGCGGCTGTCTCAGTGGCGTAGTGATTGCTGGGGGGCGCTGAAGATGTTCCTGGGGAATTTCTGGACAATTAATGCTTCACTACGGCACTGGAGCCTGAAAAGTGCGCGCTTGGCGCGCTCGGTGTGGTTGAGCATCTGACGATGGGAGGAGAAGTTGCAGATATTGCTCTCTAATTAATTCTCCGTGTGCAATTATCGGAATTGCCTCAACTATCGCCTTATCATTATATCTGACCAGATCACGTTAAATTGCCTGCGAGTTTCCTTGGCAATGAGACTCGGGAAAATTTCGCGCGCGCGGGAAAATTGCCACCCCCAGGGATAATTTTCGTGGCGCTAATGAGCCCTTTTTACCACCACACAACACTCAGCCAGTTGGCCACCCTTTCGGGTAAAAAATAAGGAAGGGGGCGAGCAAATTGCCTTTGCAGAGAGTGCATAAAAGGCAGTGCGAGAGGTTTGAGGCGAGAGCTGAAATGGGGATAAAAAAGGAAACAATGGATGTAGTACGCTGAAAAAACCGGTAACAACTATGGCTATATAGCAGAGAATAGTTGGGAGGATGGCGAGCAAAAAGACGAAAAAGAGAGTCTGGAGAGGAAATGCGAAAAGCAAAAGCAAGACATAGAGTGTGATAATATAGTGGAAAAGCCAGAAAGGTATGGAAGACGACCCCGAACTTGTTTCCAACCTAAGATCAAAATAATGACGGTAATGATTATTTATGTGCACAAAATTCCCATGTTCATAAATAAAACTCCAACATCAGAGAGAGAGAGAGAGAGAGGTTGTTTTGGGGCGACAGTAATTTTTCAGCAGGACGAAACGTTGCATTGGTAAAAGTGCAGCTCATCAGACGAATTGTGTGTGACA